TTCAGTAATCTGTTTTCCCATTAAATACTTTAAAATGTATTCTAGTCATACAGAAGAGGGCAAATTTAAATTTTATGAGTTGTCTTGCCTTTAGCGTTTGATGTAAGCCTAATGAACCAAATACTGACTTACATATCATGATAATTTTCAATGTTGAATGGTAGCGTGGGATCAATCAATCTGTCCATCCTTCACTCACAAAAATGTTCAAAGCTACTGTTGCTAGGCTGAATAAACTTTACAGAACATTGCTTTAAATCCTAAGCTAAAGAAAATAGTAGCACACAGCTCAGTTTTCATCAGAATAACAACATTTGGAGTGTCATTATTTTATATATACATATATTTTTTTTTGCATGTGGTTTCCAACCTGCCTAATTCTGATTAGCTGCAACTATTAGTGGGTGGTATGGCTAAATATGACCGTAAAATTAAAATTTCTAACAATTTTGGTATATACACTACATGGACAAAAGTACTGGGACACCTACACATTATACCTACAGGTGTGTTTACGACATCCCATTCTAAATCCATAGACGTTCATATGGAGTTGTTCCCCCTTTTGCAGATATAACAGCTTCCACTCCTCTGCAAAGGCTTTCTATAAGATTTTGGAGTGTGTCGGTCGGAATTTTTACATCCAGAAAAGCATTTGTTAGGTCAGACACTGATGTTGGACGAGAGGGCCTGGCTCGCAATCTCCATTCTAGTTCATCCCAAGGCTGTTTGATAGAGTTGAGCTCAGGGCTCTGTGAGGGCCAGTCAAGTTCTTCTACACCAAACTCACCCAACCATGTCTTTATGGACTTCCCCAAACTGTTCCAGTTTTAGAAAACCTGTTTGTCTAAAATGTCTTGGCATGCTGAAGCATTAATATTTCCCTTCACTGGAACTAAGGGTCCTAGGCCAACCCCTCAAAAGCAACCCCATAGCATTATCCCTCCTCCATTAAACTTTACATTTGGCATAATGCTTTCAGGCAGCTAAAGTTCTCCTGACATTAGCTAAAACCCAGACTCATCCATCAGACTGCCAGACAGAGAAGCGTGATTCGTCACTCCACAGAACACATTTCCGCTGCTGCAGTGTCCAGTGGCGGCGTGCTTTACATCACTCCATCCAATGCTTGGCATTGTGCTTGGTGATGTAAGGCTTGCATGCAGCTGCTCAGCTATGGAATCCTATGCCATGAAGGTTCTGGTGCACAGTTTTTCTGCTGATGTTAATGCCAGAGGAGATTTGGAACTCTGCAGTTATTGAACCAGCAGAGCATTGGCGACTTTCATGTACTATGCACCTCAGCACACGGAGAGCCCATTCTGTAACTCTACGTTGGCCTACCACTTCGTGGTTGAGTTGCTGTGGTTCCTAAACGCTTCCATTCTTTAACAGTGCCACTCACAATTGATTGTGGAATATCTAGGAGAGAAGAAGTTTCACAAACTGACTTACAGTCCCACGCTCAAATTCAGTGAGCTCTTTAGAATGACTCACTCTTTCACAAATGTTTGTAAAGACAGACTGCATGGCTAGGTGCTTGATATTACACCTGTGGCAATGGGACTGAATAGAACACCTGAATTCAATGATTAAGAGGTGTGTCCCAATACTTTTTTTTTCCATATAGTGTATCACTGTGTATATTTAGGTGCATTAGAAAACCTATATTTTTGCAGGTTAGAAATGGTTTATTATTCTTGGATGTTTAGACCTTTAATGAAAAACATTATTAATAACCACAGTAAATCTGAAATATAACCCCATTTCCAAAAAAGTTGGGACGCTGTGAAAAATGTAAATAAAAACAAAATTCAATGATGTGCAAATCACTTAAACTCTATATTTCATTGAAAGTAGTACAAAGACAACATCAAATCATCAAATGTTGAAACAGAGAAATTTTATTGTTTTTTGAAAAATATATGCCCATTTTGAATTTGATGCCAACAATACGTTCCAAAAAAGTTGGGACAGGGGCATGTTTACTGCTGTGTTGCATCACCTCTTCTTTTAACAAAACTCTGTAAGCATTTGGGAACTAAGAAGGACCAATTGCTGTAGTTTTGAAAGTGAAATGGTTTCCTGTTCTTGCTTCATATAGGATTTCAACTGCTCAACAGTTCAGGGTCTCATTTGCCATATTTTTCATTTCATAATGCGCAAAATGTTATCAGTGGGTGACAGATCTGGACTGCAGGCAGGCCAGTTTAGCACCCGGACTCTTTTAATACGGAGCAATGTTGTTGTAATACATGTAGAATGTGGTTTGGCATCGTCTTGCTGAAATAATTAAGGTCTTCCCTGAAAAAAACGTTGTCTGGGTGGCAGCATATGTCGCCAAAACATGAATCTATTGTTTAGCATTAAAGATGCCTTTACAGATGTGCACGTCACCCATGCCATGTGTACTAATGCACTCCTATACCATCATGAATGCTGGCTTTTGAACTGTGCACTGATAACAGGCTGAGTGGTCTTTAGCCCAGAGAACACAGTTTCCATGATTTCCAAAAAGAATTTCAAATGTTGATTTGTCGGACCACAGCACACTTTTCTACTTCGCCTCATTCGTCCATTTTAAGGCACTGGCATTTCTGGATCCTGTTTATATATGCTTTCTTCTTTGCATTTTAGAGTTTTAACTTGCATTTGTTGGTGCAGCTACAAACTGTTTACACAGATAGTGGTATTCAGAAGTTTTTCTGAGCCCATGCAGTGATTGCCACTACAGAATTGTGCTTGTTTTTAATGCAGTGCCACCTGAGGGCTCAAAAATCATTGCCAGAAAATACTGTTTTTTGGTCTTGTCCCTTGCATACAGAGATTTCTCCAGATTCTCTGAATCTTTCAATGACACTTTGTACTATAGATGATGAAAAGCGAAAGTTCTTTGCTATTTTATTATTCTTGAATTGCTGCACTTTGCCTGTGCAGTCTTTCACAGAGTGGTGAACTCCTCCTCATCTTTACTTCTAAAAGACTCAGCCTCTCTGAGATACTCTTTTTATACTCAAACACATTATTGACCTGTTGCCAATTAACCATCAGGTGTTTTTTTAGTATTACACAACTTTATCCCACCTTTTTTGTAACGTGTTGTTTGCGTCAAATTCAAAATGGGCATATATTTTTCAAAAACAACAAAATTTCAACATTTTATTTGTTGTCTTTATACTATTTCAATGAAATACAGGGTTTAAATGATATGCATATCATTGCATTTTGTTTTTACTTACATTTTGCACAGCGTCCCAACAGTTTTTGGAAATGGGGTTGTATTTTCTGTTGCTAGACAGCAATAAGAAAGCTGAACAATATATAGATAAACATTTGTTGATATGGCTTTCTAACACTAGAATTTCTATAAGGCTGAACTTGGCTTCTTATTTGGCTGCCTTTTATTTCAGATTTTCTGTTCCACCTTAAATGGAGCAGCAGTCACATTCTTGAAGCTGTACAGTCAGCTGAACAAAACTGCTTTACTATTTAAGGTGGAACAGGAGATTCGAATAAGAAACCAACTTCGGCTTTGTTAAATTTCTCAAGTTATTTGTCTCATACAGTTGTGCCTCCAACCGTCAGACACTGCTGGAATTTGGAAAATATTACAGTCATTCAAGTTTCAGTAGCAGCTGGTCCACAGCTTGTTTCATGCACAAGTCCCCGACGGTGTTGTTGTCGAATGCAGCTGACTGAGTTAGGCAGCTTTTAGGCGGTACGAGAGGAAACAAAAGCATGGCAATTGCTCCAGTGTCCATGTTAGGCTAAGGCTAACCCCAAAAGACCGGCCACAAATTTATGTTCGCTGCCTAAATTGGACCCCTTCAGATGGACAGCAGAGATGATCAACGGTCTAATGTTTTTTTTTGTTTTTTTTTCTTCATTTTCATTTGAGACTAAAACATCCATGACTCAGCCACTAATATTATGGTATATCATTAGTGTTGTTTGCACTATTTGTCTGTTGCATTATTTGTGGCAGAACGGTATGTTACACACAGTTGCTATGGAAAAACATATTTGTGGGCAGAGAATCAATGTATGCTGATGTTCTGGATACACTCCCCTCATTTGGATCACAGAAAATGATAAGTGTGTGCAAGAAAAAATTCTTTACCTCACTGCATGTACTGGTTATTGGTTGCAGTTAAATATCTACCTAACATGAGTCACATAATCTGAAAAATGTTTTAATGAATTCTGAGAGAAGAACATCATTTAAAAGTAATCTCATCAACCTCAATGCCCTCACTCTTCTGAAAAGTGTGCGAATTTCATACTTTAAGAAACTACTTCCACAGCTATAGATATGATATCTAAATACATCATTTATCATCTTAATGAAGCCACACACCCTTGTATGGGTTTTATAAGCCAGTCATTACTAATTATGTAATTATGAAACCCTGCTTATCTCACGTAGTCCTGTAATCACTATAAGTAATGAAGATTGACAAGTCAGTTAGCAGCTCTCGAATCAAGCTGCATTCAGTTATTGCTTTAGACAGGAAGCATGATCAATCTAAATTTGTTAAATAAATGTGGCACGCTCAAGTGTTTTGATGCCTTTTCTTGCAATAACTCTTGGGGGAAAATAGTTGTGCTTTTAGGCAGTGTTACATCATTGATTGCAAAATCATGTCAGGTTGAAAAACACTCAAAGTAGACAATCCCAGGATGTGCTTAACAATCTTCTTTTGTTGTTGGTGGTGGTGGTGGTGTTTTTGTATTCCCATTTGTGGCAAAGGAAAATCAAGCAAGAATGACATTTCAAAAAAAGCTAGCCAAAAGAAAAAAAAAAGAAGAAAAAAATCACATTTGAACAATCACATTGTAAAATAGAGCACCTTATTATCACGTTTAAAGTAAATTAGATATCGGAAAGCCAAACAACTAGAATGACAACAGAGGCAATGCTCTGGTCATTCTCTGGGCAGCACGAGGCTGCCCCACAGCAGGACCAAACCAGCATGAGAGGGAGATCATAAGAGCGTTACCTGCAGCTGCAGTGGCCATCAGTGGAGCAGGTCCTGGGGCTGGGCCAGTGGACAGGACAGGGGTGGGACGCACATGAAGGACACACAAACAGCAGAGAATGAGAGGACACCGAACCAACGGCACAGGGAGGGAGGGAGAAAAGGGAAAGACAAGGCGAAAAGCAAAACAGGTGACTTTTTTTTTTTCTTAGGGGAGGGAATGAATCGAGCGTTAAAAAAAGGGGACAGAGCAGGAAAAGAAAAAGGAAAAGGAGGGAAGGGAGGGAGGGGTGGGCCCATACCTTGGCTCTTTAACATCAGGTGCGCCAGACCTTGAGGGAAAGAACAGAAAAAAGGAAGAAAAAGGAAAAAAGAGGGTCATAAAAAAGGCACGGGAGTAAAAAACAAAAGGCATTGTCACAACGTTTGACTGCAGTTTGTGACAGACATCCTGAGGCAAACATGGATGCCGAATCAAAAAACCAAAAAAAAAGAACTGAGGAGGGAGGTAAAGAAAACAAACACACACTTCATCAGGGGTAGAGGAGTAAGAAGAGGTGTGAGGAGGGGTGGGGGGAGAAGGAAAAAAAAGCATTTCAGTCGGCACAAGCACCCAAGGGCACTTGCACGCGTAAATGCTTTTTTTCCTAATGGAGCACATATTTAGTGTTTGGCAGACAGCATTCCTTCGTTCATACGTTTTATATGCTATAGCAGTGGCAACCATAAATATTGCATTTGAAAGCCACAGTCTCATAAAAGAAAAAAAGCAAAGAGAGATCAAAAAGTGGTAGGGGGAATGTCTCGTAAAAAGCAGAGATAAATCCCCCACCCCAGCCTACTTGATGCCTGGTGCAGGACACGCTGGGTAACCTGCCCAGACAAACTGGAGCTTCTCACCAACACACAAAAGCTTGGCAGTTGATTCAGTGCTGTAATAATGTCAGCTCCTTGGCAGCTACATAACCATCAATTACCCAGAAAAAAAAATAAATAAAAAAAGCGCAAGCCATTATCCAGCAGTTTGCATTCTGTAATCATCGTGCAGTTGTTGTTTCCTGGGATTAATGACACTGAGCAGGACAAAAGTACTCCATACAAAATGAACAACCAGAGGAATTGTAACACTAATCCATACATGGATGAACAATATTGAGGTCAATATTAAAAGAGGATCTGAATTCTCATGAGCAAAGAAAGTGATCCGAACCACCAAGGACATGCTTTTCAGTTAACAGCCATAGTCCAGCTTGTTATTGTTAATAACGATAGTAAACAAAGTAGAGGATTAACAACACAGAGTGACAGGAAGAACAGTCTGAACAGAACTGAAAGATTGATTTTTTTTACCTTGCTAGCTCATGTCCATGATTCGTCATAACACACATTACATCACATCCATAATCTTCCATCAAAATGTAATGCTTTTTGCCGAAACTCTAAAACGTCTTTTGGCTAAACGTCATCATGCACCAGCCGGTGGAGAAAAATAATGTGAATCAATAGTATAATGTTTCACCTCTCCTTCCTTCCATGCCCACCTATCATCAAGCACGATGCTCAGCTACCTCAGAGACCCTCCCTGATACCTCCCTGATACAGTGTTTCTGTCAGAAAAACAGTACTATTAAAACGTCACCCTTTGCTTTATTTAATTTCCAGTCCAAACATATTTGTTAAACATATTTAACAGAAAAATAAAACATCAACATTTTCAGTATTTAGTGTGTCCATCTATTTTTTTTAGGAGAGTTGCTTTCAGTTCTTCAAAGAAATCTGTAGGGATATTTCATATCTCCAAAGTTCAGTCTTAGAAGTTTGTTATATTTTCTGCTTCTCACAATCCCAGTACTGACAATTACAAATTTAGACGCATCAGTCTATAAAACCTTACTCTTCATCTCAGATGTCCAGTTCCAGTTTTCTGGCGCAATTTTTCTTCTTTGTTGTCTATTTCCTTTTCTCAGTAATGGCTTCCTGACAGCTCTATACTTAACACCGTGTTGTCTTCTCACAGTGGGAGGATGGACAGAAACAGCTGTGGATTTTTTCAGATCTGAAGCTTGATTTTCTCCTCTCTCTCAAAGATGAAAGATTTAAGTACTGATTGTCTCACTGTGATAATTTTGGTGGTCTACCAGGTCTCGCACAGTTGTCATTCCATTTCGAGTTCCATTTTCTCTTCTCTGCCATGCTGCCATGAGAAGCAATGGGGGTGTGGCCATGTAAAATGGCTCTCAGGATGCACCACACTCCCGGGTTAAAAAGGACAATTATTGTTGCTGTTGTTGCTGTTGTTGTTGTTGTTCTTAGAGTAATTGTGTTTATTAGAGTAATTGTGTCCGAGGAGGATGGGCTTAGAAGTCTAACTAGTGGTTAGAAGTGTCTACCCTCCATGTATGTTGTGTACTCCTGCATTACCCCTCTGCATGATTCATGTAGGAGTAGTGCTGGGCTGGGTATTTCTAGTCTTTTGAAGTGCCTCTTCAAGAAAGCATTTGCCCGTATGTGCAATGTTTTCTGGGTCTTAATAATACGACAACAAATCAAATGTTAAAATTGAGAAATTTTATTGTTTTTGAAAAACATATGCCCATTTTGAATTTAATGCCAACAAGTTGCACGAATACTGGCTTTTGAACAGTGCACTAATAACAAGCTGAGTAGCCTGGAGGACACAGTGCACATGATTTCCAAAAAGAATTTCAAATGTTGATTCGTCAGATGCAGCGACAAATTTTCATAGACAGTGTTTTTCAGAAGTGTTCTGAGCCCATGCAGTGATTTCCACTACAGAATCATGTTTGTTTTTAATGCAGTGCTGCCTGAGGGCCCAAAGATCATGGCCAGCAAATACTGATTTTTGGCCTTGTCCCTTGCATACAGAGATTTCTCCAGATTCTCTGAATCTTCTAATGTTATTATGTACCTTTGATGATAAAAAAGCAAAAGTTTTTTGCTATTTTTTGTTGTGAGACGTTATTCTTGAGTTGTTCCACTATTTGGTCATGAAGTCTTTCACAGAGTGAACTCCTCCTCATCTTTACCTTTGAAAGACTCAGCCTCTCTGGGATGCTCATTTTACCCAGTCATGTTACTGACCTGTTGTCAATAAACCACCAGGTGTTTTTTAAGCATTACACAACTTTACCAGCCTTCTGTTGCCCCCATCCCAACTTTTTTGGAACGTGTTGCTGGCATCAAAATTAAAATGGGCATATACTTTCAAAAAACAATAACATTTCTCAGTTCCAACATTTGATATGTTGTCTTGAAGCATTTTCAATGAAATATAGGGTTTAAATGATTTGTTGCATTTTGTTTTTATTTACATTTATCACAGCATCCCAACTTGGAACTTTTGGAAATGGGGTTGTATTAAATATAGATATTTTAAATGCATAAGAGAAAGAAATTGGCAGGGCAATTAAGTTGTGTTTGGGTAGCTGAATGTGTGAATGTTAGTGTCTGTTTGAAGGGCAACATAATGTCAGTGACTCCTTTGGGAACAGCTTTTGTTGGGAGGACACAGCTGTAACTCAGTTTTAAAATCGGAAGAGTTAAAGTGGCAGTAGATGCAGAAAAGTAAAGAATGAACAACTTAAATACTGATAAATTTGGAATTATGTTTAGCATCGGAGGCCTTTGTGTAATTTTGTGAAACTTATGTTTCCTGCTTTTTCGACACTAAAAAATGAATAAGTTGTACTTAATGGCCATTTTGATTGGAAACTGACTAAACAAAAGAGTTTGCACAGTACTGTATGTCATGGTATGGCCAGAAAATGTGATCGGGTTTCTGTTGTCTGTGAACACGGCACTCGAGTGCAAACTAGAGCTTACTGAACTCTAGACCTTCTGTTCCAGTAAAACTCACAAGCATAGATGACAAGCTGTTATCAGAACTCTGTAGCTACATTAGCTCATAAAAAAATAAGAAATTATGAAAAAAACCTCTTAACCTATATGTATTTCATCGACCTGTAAGTATTTTATAAATCAAATATGGGTTAACTGACCGCTGCTGCACCAAACAGCATCAGAAAACGTCTCTCATTATGGCACTGAAGTGTTTTATAAGACTGCAAGCTTTTCACTTTGGTGCCAATCTATGGTCATTACAAGTAAAAGGACAAAGATCACTGATACAGAAGGTGCGGTCTGAAAGGTTCCATTTCTGTATGCCCTTGTAGCAGCATAATGAGGCAGCTGAGGTTGAGAACATGGTCTAGCGCTTCGTCTACCTTCCACAGAACATGATTACCCGCAGTAATCATACGCAACCCAGATTACGTCTCATTAACCGAACTGTGTTTTTTCCCCATGGTGAGTCATAATGCATTTGAAACCATACTAAACTGAAAAGAAAATTATGTTCAGATCCCACCAGCACCTCCTCACGGCCACGAGGCTGAAAAAATGCCAGATTTAGAGTGACCAGCGTGGATATGAGCCCTCATTATCTATGCGTTTGATTTTACCAAAACAAGTAATTGTGATTACAGTGTAGGGTTGCTGCATTATTGTTTTCTCTCTGCAAAACGCTGGTTGAGATATTCATAAAAAAGAATAAATAACTGAGGTCCCATCAGCAGCAATGCCACTTTCATTCCATTGCAACTAAAGCTTGCTATTTGAGAGATAACCCAGCTGAAGAACAGATAATAGCGAAAGGTTGTAGTGTACCCAATTCCATTAAAATAACAAATGAATGTCTGTTGGAAGATTGAGAGCTAAAGGTGTTTTTAGAGATTAGCCCACAATTTTCACACTGAGGGTAAAAGGGATGTAACCAGTTGTATTCACAAACACTTAGTAAGCCTCGAATCAACACACTGACAACATATTCTGTACTGTTCTAACAAGACCATAATATTCAAAATAATGTCAAATCTTGAATATATAACAAAATAGACAGTACTGCGCAAAAGTCAAAGACCACCCTTCGTTTATTTAATTTTCAGTTATGGCCATTAAGTTATTCTTTAGTGTCACGAAAATAAGTAGAACATTTCAGGAAAGCCTCAATAACTAAATATAATATCATTTTTCAGTATTTATCGTGTCCACTCTTCGCCTTTATTACAGCTTCTGTTCTTTTTGGGAGACTTGCTTTCAGTTTTTCTAAGAAATCTGCAGGGATGTTTTTTCCACACCTCCAAAGTTCAGTCACAGATGCTGGTTGCATTTTCTGCTTCTCAGAGTGCAAGTAATCCTAAACACATTCACTGATGTTGAGGTCTGGACTCCGGCAGCTTCTTTGTTTGATTTGCAATTTTCTTCTATTTTGTCTGTTTCCTTTTCTCAGTAACAGATTCTTCACACCTACACA